GGCTGTGCATTGTATCAATGTGTGAGAGTCACTCCTGCCCCTGCATGGATGGTGAAACTCGGCATGTAACATATCTGAATACAAAAGGGCATTTCAAATCTTGAGGATTTAGACAGCCAATACCATACAAGCTTTTAGAATGGCTTAACTTGTACCAGAGAACAGGTTAAGTTGGCCAAAATACCATCCCTTAAAACCATTTGAAAGGACCAGCACAGTCTTAACTGCAACAGTTTTAACCTTTGACATGTCAGCACGGAAAGCAAATCTGCAAGAATCAATCATTTATAAACTCCCTGTTCTTTCTAAACACTTACCCCAAACTGTCCATTCTCATCCAGCTCCTCAACTCTGGCCAAATTAGGCGCTCCAGGTCTATCTGTAAGTTCAGCTATCGTCTTTTCATTTTCCTAGGGTAATGAAAACCAGTTTTCAGTTAAAAGTGTTCCATGTCATAAACAATTATCTATTGAGAAAATTTCAGATGTCTTAAAATGATATTATGTATTAAATATAAAGGACATACTTTAGAAGCATGCTATATAAATGTGTTAGTATGTGAATATGGTCTTTGTATGTTTGTTAAGACTATTCCTTTTTTTTTTCCAAATAACAGGAATTTCGGTTTTCATTTCTACATATTCATTTATCCTGTCACTTTCATACTGTCATCTTCCTACAATTATGTTCCGTCAGTATTTTAACAGTGCTCTAAAAAACATACGCATCTTTAAAATATGATGTGCTCCACATAAATTTAAGAGATACTCATATTAAAAGTATTGTTGCGATAAATATGCCAATTATCAGTGTATATTTTTGCTGAAATAGCATTAACAGACCATACGTGTACACAGACATCTATATAGGCAGTCTTCTCTTAGTATAAATTCCTGTACACCAGGAGAATCTCAGAATCAAGAGGCACCCCAATTCCAAACCACAGTTCCTTTTCCAGGTACAGCAGATGCACTGACACTCAGTAAAACATTACCATCTAGACACTTAAATTATACATCCTTAAATTATAATACTTTCACATAAATACCATCCAGGCACGTGAAAGCACCAACTAAGCTGACCTTACACTAAATTTTGCAGTAAATTTATGCTCTGTTCTGAATATAAACTAAATAAACCTACTAGAACAGACCAAAATTTTCCCTATTTTCAGTTTTTTAAAAAAAATTTGTGTTAGTTCAACACCCACGAGCTTCTGCCTTGTGTTTTGTATTTAGTGTCTGCATCTGGAAAAGACAGCTGATTAACAGTATTTTCAAACCACTGACTAAGCTTTGGCTTAAACCTCTTCATCTTTCTGCTGCAACAACATATCCTTGTCTTCATTCTGCAGTTCCAACTCCTCACGTTCTTGTTGCAGCTGACCCTGCAATGGGTTTAAGAACGGATGAATCAGACGGAAAAAAAACCCACATTCATCTCCCCCATCCCATTGCTTACAATGTATTTCATTACTGAAATCTTAAATAAAATAAAAAAGGAAGCACAAAACATAACTGCAATGTTAATAACTTAAAGCCCTTTCAGTATTATCTGACTCTACATTTTCAGAGGTTTTAGACTCGCATGGATAGAAAGGCTTTACTAGCCAGAGGCAGAAGAAACAGACAACTGAAATTAGTGTACACACTTCAGATACTGTCCCATTACGCATGCTCTTTATCAGTCTATATTCATTATCTCCTATACTTTGGATTAAACTCCGATTCTTCATATAGCATCTAGCACAGGCAGATAAATCCACATAGAATCAAATCTGTGGAAAAGACTGGTAAGTAATGTCATTAACATCAATCATCTTCATCGTCAACCTTTACAATTTCCAATTGGAAACAGCTAATACAAAGTGTTTATTCTTTGTGCGCCTCAGTCCTATTGCATCAAAACTTCAGAAACTGCATAATCTAAGCGTTCACATTCAACAACACTGTGGCCTAGAGAATATTGTTTGCTGTAGCATTTTGTGAGCAGCTACTACAAATATGGTCACGTTGTAGTAACTAGTTTGCACATTCGTTTCTGTTAAATATAATCAAAACATGCCTGAGTATGTGACTATAGCCAAAACTGTGAGTTAGGTTAAAAAACATGTCTCGTGAGTATTGTTCAACATCTCTTCCATAGTTTACATAAAACAGTTTTTGTAATTCTCTGTGAATTATCTCTAGACACAATCTTACATTCTTGATTCCATTTATTATTTTAAATGACTCAAGAAATTCTTAAGCGTGTAACTTTTGGTCTGCAAATTAGTAAATTCCAAATTTTAAAAGTGCAAGTGAAATAGAATGAATGCATCTTACACTAGACCTAAGCTTAATAAGATCTGCACAGATTTAAAATTACACTTTTGATTTTGACATCACGAAAGTCAACCATGTAAAAAAAATCCAGTCAGACAATGTCAACGTACTACAGCAACACTGAGGCTGTTACACCTGCGGCCAAATTCACATGACTGCTTTATAAAGGATAGATAGAAACATAGAGGATATCTTTATTTCTCCTATTTCAAGTCCACAGAGTATAGGATTCAAATTGCTTTCTGCCAACAGAATGCTCAAGTAGATAAGGAAAGAAGGCGGCACACCTCATTGGATCAGGTTATACACACTGCTTAAATATGCAATCTTCATACACTGACTCCCAACCATTTTCAGAACTCTATAATTGCGTATACGTTCTCATTACTTTTTATGCCTTACTGATATTGCATAGAAGTACCTTGAGACGATGATCGGTTATTACTCCCAGGCCTCTTAGGAGGCCTGTCAAAATTTTTTGCAATGATTTCTAGTTTTATTTGCACCAGCTCTTGTTCATAATTAACTACAGAAGACAGTCTACTTATTTTAAGTTACTTCTCAGGTAAGTCTTAAATTGGTTGCTTTTTACCTTAGGCTCCTTCATTTTCTTATAACACTTTACCACATAGTATGTAAGTTATCCTTCCCATGTGCTGACTAATCATTTCAGTTATTATTTAGAAAAGTGAGACTAAAATACTTAATTTATTCTGCCTTCTCTCAAAAACATTATACAGAGATTAGAAGCATACAGAGCACTACAAGATGCCACAGCATCACATACTATTTATAATTATCTACTATTAAGTATTATGAACCTGATGCTGTTCTTCAAGTTTCCTCTGGATCATTAGCTCCTCTTCCTTCATTTTTCTTAACATTTCGAGTTCTGCCAGGGCCGCCTCCCGTTCTTGCTCCAGCTCAATCCTCTCCAACATTCTCTATTTCAGAGGTAACAAATAATCAATTAAAAAAATAGAGATGAAACAGCATTAGTTATATTATCATGAAAATTTCTGCCCAAGACGCAGCCACCTTTTTTTCTTCATCTAAGATTCTTCTGTAATTGTAAATCCAATGGGCCAGATACTCTATTGGATCTGCTGGCTGACGCTCTACAACCTCTGCCAGTCCCTTTTTCAAGCAGCTTCCCAGGCATCTCTTCAGATACTGAGACTCCATTCACATCTACTGAAAACAAACAGATAGACATTAGCCAGCAACGTCAGAATTAAATTAGGGTTTTTAAGAAATATTGCCTCAGGTACCAAATCTGGAATATGACATTACGCTTTTATTAAGCTAGTAATTAATAGAAGAAAGTTTTTTTAATTTAATATTGGTTTACTTCTTAAAAGCTCTGCTGACAGATCATTTACACTAAGCCCTGCAGAAGAAAGGGCTGAGGGAGCTGGGCTTGTTCAAGGAAGTTCCGTCTGAACATGAGGAAGAACTTCTTCCCTCTGAGGGTGACGGAGCACTGGCACAGGCTGCCCAGGGAGGTTGTGGAGTCTCCTTCTCTGGAGATATTCAAGACCCGCCTGGACGCGGTCCTGTGCAGCCTGCTCTGGGTGACCCTGCTTCGGCAGGGGGTTGGGCTGGGTGAGCCACAGAGGTCCCTACCATTCTGTGATTCCGTGAAAATGCTCAAAACCCCCCTTACTGTTTAGGGCTTGTATAATTCAGAAACTGTTTGGAAATATGCTGGTAATTGTAGGTCAGCATGACAGTAAAAAACGCCAAACCACACCAGGACATAGAAAACTTCTGTACAGACATTTGAAGAACAGTGAAGCAGTTTTGTGAACGGTTAAGGACAGATTTCAGCTTGAACCAACAGCTATCTGTAGGACACGTGTGCAAGGCCAGGGCCTGAAGCAATCGCTCTGTGCGGTCAGGAACGGTGCAAACCCCTGCGCACACACGAGGTTTCACCGGCTCCGTGCCAGTAAACACGGAACGCACCCGATACTCGGTTACCGCAAGGCCGGACGAGCGTTAGGACCCGGTGCTGTCCCCAGCCCGCGGGGGTGCCCCTGCGGG